AAGAGAGAGAAAGAGAGAGCAATAGATTTCAGCGAGAGAGAGAAAGAGAGAGAAAGAGAGAGCAATAGATTTCAGCGAGAGAGAGAGAGAGAGAGAGAGAGAGAGAGAGAGAGCGATAGATTGCAGAGAGAAAGAAAGCGAGAGTGAGAAGCTAGAAAGAGTCCCTGAGATGCGGCAGTGGGAAGTGTTGCTGCATAAGACGTGCGGACGATCGACTGGCCGTGACGTCATACCGGATGGTGGCATCCGATAGGGGTATCTCTGTGTGTATAACAACGTGAATATTCAAAGAATCCGAAGAAAAAGAAGAAATTGCATTAATAGGAAGGGGACGAAGAAGAAAAAAAGAAGAAAAAGAAATGAGTGAGACAAGGAGGACGAACAAACAATAACCACCAACAACAAGAACAACAACTACAGCAACAGCAACAGCAACAGCAACAGCAACAGCAACAACAACAACAGCAATAACAATAACAACAAGCACCACCACCATAACCATCACCACAACCACCACCATCATCATCACCACCACCGCCACCACCACCACCGCCGCTACCGCCACCACTACCGCCACCACCACCGCCACCGCCGCCGCCGCCACCACCACCACCATCATCAGCATCAGCATCATCGTCAGCAGCAGCAGCAGCAGCATGAACGTCACCCACGTGGCGGGCGGGGCCAGCAGCGCGGGCGCCGGCCGCCAGGAAGCGCTAGCCTTCAACCTCCTTATGCTCGCCCTCTCCTCCTCCTCCTGCGTCATGAACGGCATCGTCGTCGTCGTCGTCGCCACGGCGCGCACCGCCAAGTTGCAGACGAACACGACGCGCTTTGTCGCCAGCCTTGCCGGCGCCGATGCGCTCTTCGGCGCGGTCTACTTCGTCGTAAGGCTGCTGATGATGACGGTCGGAGAGCAGCATTACAGTCACGCGTCGTGCGTATTCACGACGGCCGTCATCTTCTTCGCCGTCGCGTCGACGATGACGTCGCTCGTGCTCATCACTGCCGACCGCTTCTTCGCCGTCACGCGGCCCGTGCTGTACAAGACGCGGCTGACGCGTCGCGTGGCGCGTCGGCTGATCGCGTTCAGCTGGACGTACGGCGCGGCGACGACGTGCGTAGCGGTGGCGCTGCTGGTCGCGTGTCGGGAGAAGCACGCGCACCACGAGTGCAAGCCGGACTGGATTCTGCCGGCCGGCTTCGTGTACTTCCACGTCGCCAACTACGTCGTCGTGCTGCTCGTCATGGTGTACACCTACGTCGCCATACTGCGTCTGAGTCTCGCGCGCGTCGCCCGTCAGCACGCGGGAGGCGCGACCGTGGCGCCATCTCCGTTCAAATCGAGAACGACGAAGATGACGGTGATGATCATCAGTCTGGCGGTGACGTGCATGTTACCGCACATGGTTTACATGGTGGCGATCCACGCGCGCGGCTCGTACGAGCCGTACGGCTGGCTGAGGAACGTGCGCTCCGTGCTGCTCGTGCTCAACTCGCTCGCCAACCCGTTCATCTACGTCTGGCAGAACAGACAGTTTCGAGCCGCCATTCTCGCGCTCGTCTGCAAGCAGACGTCGGCGACCTACGACAGTCGCAGTCGACCCTGAGATAAATCGACTCAAACCGGAATTGTTCGGCAAAAGTCGGAATTCAAGATGGCGACATTTCAACGTTCGATTTGCGGGCGTCACCTTCGCCGCACAGCGTCTCTGCGCGTGTGCGGTTCGCCGAGCCGCCATCTTGCACGAGTGACGCGTCGATGTGAACGTGTCGCCGCGTGGCGTCTAAAAATTTCCGTAAAGCGTTTGAAATTTACGCCAAATTCACCTGACTTCACAAACCCAGTAATATAATATATATAAATATAAATATACAAATATAAGATCAAGATCACACTAATAGGCTCCTCCGCGGAAAGTGGTAGGCCCTACATACGGGGTTTGTACGCCTAACCTGCGGCACGTACCTAACTGTACATGTCTGTATTTTCAAACGTATGGTGGGATATATAGCGGCTGGCTGAAATATAGACAGGAGAATTTTACAATAATATCCGTTTGTAACTTTTGCTACCTAATTCATAGTTGCGATTATATTATGGTATATTCATAGTTTATGGTTGCGATTATATTGATGTGCTAGTTTCTTTTGGTGGTTTTCGTGTGATTATTTGATATTGTATATATATATATATATATATATATATATATATATATACTATGCATATATCATATTATACTATAGACCTATTATAGGTTGCAGCAAGGAATGGGTATAAAAGAGAAAGAGAAAGAGAGATAAAAAGAGAGAGAGAGAGAGTGTGTGAAAGAGGAAGAGGGAGTGAGAGAAAGAGAGAGAGCGAGAGAGAGAGAGAGAGATGAGAGAGAGAGGAGAAAAGAGAGAGTAGAAAGAGAGAGAGAGAGGAAGCAGAAGTGAGGTTGAGAAGAGAGAATAAGAGAAGTACGAGGAGAGAGAGAGAGAGAAGCGAGAGAGAGAGAGAGCACGAGAGAGAGTGAGAATGAGAGAGGGGGAGGAAGTGGGAGTGAGAGAAAAGAGAGAAATGGAAGAGTTGAAAAGTTATCTTAGAAAGAGAGATCGAGAGTGTGTGAAAGAGAAAAATGGAGTGAGAGAAATAGGAAGAGAGAGAGAGAGAGAAAGAGGGAGTGAGAGAAAAATAGAAAGAGAGATAGAAAGAGAGAGAGAGAGAGAACGAGAGACAGAGAGAGAGATAGAGGGAGAGAGAGAGAGAGAGAGA